TCAATCTTGGGGGGGGGGGGGTATTACTGCCATTATAAAAAAGGTGACTACAATCAATGGGGGGTGGTTATTCGAACTTGTTTGATCGTGGAATGGGTGAATTTGTGTTAGCCACATTTCTCACTGTCTATTCTAGTTCCTTGCTATTTGTATGCGTGTGTAAGTGAATAGTGTGAGTGGTCATTTGCCAATTGTATTATTATTTTTGTTGCTTTCATTGACACTTAATTAATTATTACTTCTGCCTACGGGGAACGTAGTATAATATGCCGGGGTGTAGATATATTGAATCAATTCAAGCGTTATTACGAGGAATTGGGTGCAAGCTGGAGTTTATCGGGAGGCAAATAACCCAAGAGGGGATGGCTGGTACAAAGAAGAGAAGAACATTAGAATATCCACAGCCTTGCTTCGCATACATCCCGGTTTCGTCGAATCGGTTTGCAGTAAAACTCTCTCCTTCACACTACAATTATACGAATTAGGTTTCCGATGTGAATAATTGACCATTGCTTTAAAACCTCACGATATCTATCTCTTCGAATAACCTTAGAATGGCCAAGTTACTTTGTTTCGTACTTGGTGGCACAATTAGGGCGCTTTTTAGAGTGATTTACATTTAATAGGAGTCTCTTTACCCTTCAACGCCAGAATTGTTATTTGACAAATGCACCCAACCGCACTCACGCGTGTCTCACAGCAGACTGATGCCGACGACGTGATGAGTTTTGGTAGTATCAGGCGATGACTGTAGACTTATTGAACATATTTTAAACGGCAGTAGAGCCTTCTCTTATGAGTCTATTACCAATGGAACTTATTTTTAAATAGGACAGTACAGTCCTAAAGGCTTTAAAGGGTAAATACTAAAAAAATATGTAATATTTTGCGTATCATTCCTAAACATTAGTATTACTGACGAGTCCTGAATCGGATTCCATAAGATGCTTTATTTAAATCAACCTAGGCTATATTCTTATTCAAATTGATTAATTCATTCGTTAATATTAGGCCAACATTTGGGTGCTCTATCCTGTGGCAAAATAAAAAAAACATTACCTCTTTCGAAGTTATGTAAATTGGACAAGGTTATTCCAATTGCTTTTATCATTTTTGCTAACATTTAATTCGGATATGAAGACATCCGGATGACATAATCCGGAACTTTCATAATTATATCCAAAATATTCTTTGATCAGCCGATTTCTTGGCTTATTTCTCACCTATGCCGACATTTTCATCAACGAAAAATTGGAGCCTGAAGTACGCGGGTGGGGGGTGAGTGGGGGGGGGGGCGATTTGACTGCCAACCACTCTTAATTGGTTTGTCCTCATATCTTCATATCACTTATTCACGGCCTACGCCTGATGGGAGATTATGTAAGAGCTGCAGAGTCCAGGCTAAAAGGGTAGCCTATTTTCACCTCTGCACGCTTAATTAATTCAATTCTGTTTTCAAGTTCACCTTTTTAATACACTCTCTCTTCCCCCAATGTGAAATCTTCTTTTTCTATTGGCGTTCCCTGCGTCCAGTAATTGGTTCATTTTAAGCGCTTTATTACGGGCCACCCATTTCTATTGCCATACATAATCAGGCTTTGAGCAATATCGATTATCTATTTATCACAAGTTAGAATTTCATTATTGAGAATGAGTTCCTTTAAAATAACTGGGAAATGGAAATTGATGGACTATTTGTTTAGGCAGTCATATAGCAGCACATGTAGATTTGAATGTGAGAGCAGACCTTGAATGACTCCGTCTCCGAAAATGGTTGATATTCCATAATTTCTGTTCATTACTTCAGAAAAAGAGGAAATCCATCGTCTCCTGCTGCCAGGCCCTTGGGGCTGTCTTTCTGCTATCCCTCCACCTTACTCTCGTCTTCTTTTTGGTCCCTATGTTAATACCCACTTTCAGGACATTGTGTGGCATTCGTGAATTAGTCATTCACGTCGTTTCTAAATTAGTTTCTCTCTCTTTCCCAACCATATATCACCTTCGCTCGTTCATTTTCTCCCTCATATAACCCTAGTTAACATTGAGCGGCACAGTTTCCCAAAAAGACGCTTATCGTTCGGTGTTGTAAAATGCTTGTTAGTTTAAGTTTTGGAACAACAGCTTTCAAAACACAAAACTACAATTATTAAGTCAATTCCACTTAGCCTTAAGAGGAAGATACATTGTCTTATTGTCGGATGCAACACGTGTGTGGAAATGAAAATGGCCTCTGTGGATGTGTACTTTCTCAACGGAAAAGTATTCCAAACGCAGAAAGGCCATCTTAAAGAGCTGCTTCTTCGGGTTAATCAAATTGGAAGGCTGTGCAATAAAGAAACAGTAGCAACGTTTGTTGGATCTTCGAACGTACTTCTCAAACATTTTTGCGTCTATTTCTCCCATTTGCTGGGGATTCCAATTTCTTTGTAGCGAAGTTAGAATCACAAGCTTTAGGGCATTTGCCAACACTTCCTTGTTCCGTATTAGTGGCAGTTAATCGTCATTTTTTAGAACATGAAATGAAGTGGGCAAGTGCCTCAATCTTTTGTCACTGTCGGTTTAGATTTTCATTGAGGGAATCGTTTGTCAGTCCTACTTTTTCGTAAATTGTTCGTTGACCTCAATTGAATACTTAACCCTATTTTGGCTTTAATTTCTAATCTTGCCTAAATTCTCACATTCTCATATTGCACTTTAAAATATGATGCTATGTCTGTAAGTATATATTCTTTGAAAGAGTATTCTCAATCTCAATAGTATTTTCCTAAGATTTTATGCTAAAATTGGGAGGATGTAATTGAATGAAACGTTGAAAAAAAATTATTTCCATGGAACCGGTAATCTTACCGCCTGCACCCGAAGAGTTAGAGCAACATTTTTCGATTGAAATATTATTATCATTATAAAATTTCTATGATCCTTGCCAAAATGTGACTGGACAACTCACACAAATGGGGGCAGTTCGGATGGAACCAAGGTATTCCTGTATTATTTCGCTTCCTTTTTCACTCCTTCACACGTTGGCAATCTTATTTCACTTTTCATTTGTATTTTATTCCGTTCAGAGCATTTCTTCCATTCCTATTTCCACTTCAATCATTATCGTAGTCGTTAATTTGCTGGGGAAAAAAAGTCCACGCTCTTCCCTCTTTCAAATGTCGAACTTCTGATCCCATGGAGTTGTAAACTTTTGCACTTTAATTTTGACAAGTTTGAGGGAAAAATTTCTGCCAATCATATCTGCATTACGCCAATGTTGTTAGTAATTTGGGGTCCTGCCTGCCAATATTTTATGCCACTAGATTCCTAACCACTTTTAGGCATCTTCAAATAATAAGCGGTATTGATTTCCTTTTCAGACTAATCAGAAGCTTATAGGATTGGTATTTAACATTTACACTTAAGTGTCTGATTTTCATTAAGACCGATAACTACCTTGTAAGGTAATCGGTTTAGAACCTAATCTTATTAATGTGTTATTTAGATTTATCGAACCTTCTCTGTTAGACGCACCAGATTACGCTAATCAAATATTCATACTGATGGCACTTCTAATAACTAATCAGTAGAATACATCCTCCATTTCAGACCAATAACTCTAGTGGTCGCCAAGTGTTGGGACGCGAACCCCCGAGGTGGTTATTTTACTATTCCCCGACAGGAACCCGTTCGCCCAATCGATCCTCGGGCTTGGGTTCTGCACACCAATGCTATGACAGCTAATGGCCACACTCATGGAGGAGGGAATGGAGGTCAAGGACAAGCTGGAGGCTCAGGGTCTTCCACGTCGTCAGGAGAGGATTCAGTGTCGACCATTGGGAATCGTCGACGAACAGGGAGTGGGAATAATGCTGTTGGAGTTCCAGGCGGTAACCAACAGCAACAAGGTGGGGGCTTCAGTATAGCGGCCATGCTTGCTCAGCAACAGCAGCAACAACAACAGCAGAGATTTAAACAGCAACAAGGCTCGCAACCACAGCCTCAACAGTCACTTCTCCCGTCCGGTTTTCGGGCTCCTCCTCAGGCTACCTCCTGTATGCTTCCAGGGTTCTCCAATCAGGTTTGTGGCTAATTAATTGTGGCGCCGACCATATTCAATTCGTCTTCTAAATATTGCACTAATATTGGATTAGTTTGTAAATAGAAATCTTGAGTTACATCGTATGTAACAGAATATTAGCAATAGAGGGTAAAACAAGAAAATCTAAGTTAATTTTAAGTCGATGCAGTCATGCTAATGTCCTCATATACGTGACTTTTGAAGATCAAACCTCGTCTATATGGGCTAATTTTCCATATCTAGGCTAACTATCAGTATATTTAGAGCTAAATAATTTACTCTTGGTCAATGGCGGATGGATAACAAAGACCATCCTGCTTAATTTGGTTTTTACATGCGATAATATTAAGACGAGACATTGCCGGTTAGTGCAAATATTTCTGCATTTTGTTAATGCTCATTAAGCATCTATTGACTTGAAAACAAATCTTTTTTACGTTGGAAAGGCCAATGCAATGCAGTGAGTCGGTAATCTCCCTCTTGAGAAGTAACATTTTTGGACACTTCTAATTGTTCCATTTCCTTATCATTAAAAAGTGACTAAACTAGTCCAACATGGGGTCAAAGGGCTAAGAGTGAGTAAAGTTGAGAGAAAAAATTTACTATCATTTACTTACTGGAGTTCTGGTATAGTAAAATTCTAACTTATGTCAAAAGAGCAAGTTTCAGCTGAAATGTTCTGCAGTAATGGTGGGTGGAGCTTGCTGATCGAATGTACAACCAATGATATAATTACTTTATTCTAGGATTCAGCTTGTATATACTTGCTTACTTTTTCACTTTTGAAATAACTAGTTTCGTACTCTATGACTTTCCTACTATTTCATTTATTTAGCAGGTTGATGGGACAAGAAATTGAGACGAAGTGTGCCATTATGATTTTAGTGTTACCACTTTTGAGTGATCAAGGGTTAACCTGTCCTTTGTAGGGTGCTCAGAGCGTGGTAACTCTCTCTAGTTCCATTCCGGAGACGGAGCGATTTTGTCTCCCTCCCGAACCTCTGACTGTTGCAACTGACGTCAAAACAGTCATCCGAGCGATGATGCTCCCGGACTCTGGTCTCGACATTCGTGACCGTGTGTGGCTCAAAATCACCCTTCCAAGTGCTTTCATTGGCTCCGACTTGGTTGACTGGTTGTATCGCAATGTTGAGGGTTTCGCCGATCGTCGAGATTGTCGAAAATATGCCGTGAACCTTCTCAAATTCGGTCTTATTCGTCATACGGTGAATAAGTCTACTTTCTCCGAGCAGTGTTATTATGTGTTTGGTGATATTACTGGAGGTAAGCCAAGCGGTTATTATCCTTGTATACTTATTTGATTTCAGTAGCTAGTCCTACATTACTTCTAACAGATTTCTCAGCGCTCAGTTTGGAGGAAGTGGACAGCGTGAGTGAGATTGGTGCCTTGGTGGCAGCGCAGCAGAATTGGAGTCATAGTACAGCCAGTACAAGCCTCACAGTGGGTGGTAATTGTTCTCCGCAGGTTCCCATGGCATCACAGCCACAACCTACACCCTCCACTCAAGCCACCCAGCAACAACAAATGGCAGTTAGCTCCTCTGCAGGTCCTTTCGGAATACCATCTTCTGTGTTCCATTCTGCAGGCGGCGGTGGTGGTGGTGGAAAACTTGTTCCTGGTCAAACGCAGCATGCTGGTCAGAATGGATTTAGGATGAATAATAATGGATTAGTTGATATGCCCATGCAGAGAAGTGAGTCGAACTTCCAATTATAACTTAGTATTTTGTTGATATTATTCACATAAGCCTGTAAAGGCTGTTTTCAAGCATAGATAGGCAAAAAATTTGGAAATATGTAGTAAGAACTTCAAGTGAAATATTCAAATGTCTTACTACCTCTGAACTGTAAAACCTTATTTTTCATTACTACATACATTGTATGATTTCACGATCTCTAGGACGGGGGGGGGGAGGACTCTGGTGTTTTATGCTCAGTTTCTCAATTTCCTCTCATCTCATGTACATTTGGAAAGGTCGATGACATCGCGTATCACAATGGAGATTTCCAGTATTTCAACATCCGATATTTGTAGTTGGTATTCAAGTATGTGAATACTAGATCTCCTTTTGAGGATTTAGCATTCAAATCAACTATTAATCTCGTCAAGTTAAAAGAGCTCTAATGGCTATTGATGCTTATTTTTTTAGCCCTGACTAAACCCACTCGTCTGTAGATTTGCAACAAGTTGCCTTGCGAACACTTCCACTTTCTGTCAGTTTGCACTTCTATCCTGCTGAGTGAATGCGTCTAGCGCTATCTGCCAAATAGTGTTTTGACCAGAATTTAATTTTTTGCTCAAACCTGACAATAGTAGACATGCTGTAGGAAGAACATGTGCGACAAATGATTCTCACAAGTTGCTTTGCTCAATTATCAAATGAAGTGTATTTAATCCTAACCTCGACCAGAGCCCCACCAGCTATCTTTGGTCTTCCAAGCTTCCTTTGCGTAAGAGCTAAGGTGGGCAAACAATTGGTCTAAAACGATTTGCTGAATATCTATCCGGTTAGGGAAGAATAATCGATTATCAACATCCGTGTACATTCGAATAGTTCGCTTACACGCCGTCTATATATTCAAGACGTCCTAATTTCAAATTCTCCTGGGCTTCTTAGACATAATCTAACAATATCTGGAATATTTATTTATTTATTTCAAATGTCAGGCATTTTGATAGTTATCATCAGCCCTTTAGCTGACTTCTGTATTCACAGGGGGGAAGGAGCATCAGGGTAACAGAAAGTCAAGGGGTGGGTAACGGAAGAGTGGTTTACAGATGTAAAAGAGGCAGACACAAAGGCAGAGAAAAGGTAGGATGAGTGTTGTGGAAGTGGTAGAATATGACATACAGTGGGGTGATGGTAGTTTGACGTCAGAAGTCAACTATCGGTTAATAGACTTTTTTGCCGTATGAGTATACGTTGCCCAGGGTACACCACATGGAGGTAAGTCTATCGCACACCCCTGTATCTGGAATATAATATTGAAGGTTATGGGGAACCCTCTAAGATTCACAAAGAGAGTATAAGTAGCGTGCTCAAATTTCGTGGTGTGGCTCATATTCAGTGCGTGTTCTCGGATTGATTTATTTTCGTGATTGGTCAGGTCACTTCAATTTATATCTTTTGGAAATGGAGTTAAAAAAGGTTTCTTTTAACATAACGTAATTTGAGTTTACTCAAGCTAAAACTAGATTTTTCTCTTAACCATTTTTTCTTAGTTATGTCCTCGGGAAGCAGCAGCAGTAGTAGCTCATGTGAAAGCGCCACCGAAAACACCCTTTCAACGACAGACAAGGTAGATCTCAAAGGTGTTGGAGGTGGTTCCGGGCTTTCTCCGTTCCTCCCAATGGCAACCTCGAGCTTCCGAGTGCCTCCCAAGCTCGAACAAAATGTCATCCAACAACAACAACAACAACAGCAGAAAGTGGTCACTCCTCCAACTCACAAGAATCCTGTGGGAGGTAGTGGAGGCGGAAATGCAGAATGCAGAAGTAGCTCAAGTGGATCTAGTTGCTGTTCAGAAGAAGACGAGCACACTCATCCGGGCACTGGGATGCTGCCTCAACAACAAATCCAGGCCCCACCCTCCTCACTGATTCCTGGGGGACATAGTGGGAAACCCTTCCCACCTCCCCGTGCTTCCTCACCTCCTCCCACCATGGCCTCTCCTGGTCTCTATCTCAACACAGCGTCTTCTTAGAAACGCAGGCATCATTTGACACCATCTACCCACTTCCGCATCGCATTTAACGACGAATACGCGCCGATTTTATTCCTCCCTCTCCTTTTTTCTATCTCATCAGCGTCTCTTGGTTTTTTTGTTTTGATCTACCTTTCCTTCTGCTTCTCATTGCAATAGAAAAGTGCGCGAGAATTTGACGGTGTGTGTGTGTGTGTGTTTGTGTCATTTTAATTTATTACCATTTACTAACCTGGCTCGCGTGTGCCTCTTTTGACGCTCCACCTATTTCTGGTATATCTCATCCTCTCACTCCCTCCCTCCCTCCCTCCCTCTCAATTCAACTCAAAGTCTCCCTCTACCCATGAAATACAGATAATTATCCTATTTGAATGCCTTCACTCAAATATGTGAAAATTGGCTATGGTTGTATGGTCATACATATGCTCGTATATTTCGATAAAGTTATTTTAATCACTCTGGTTCAAATAGTCATAAGTTAATGGTTTTCTATCTAAGGATTGGGGGGGGGGCTTTGTTAAAGTGTTTAAAAGCAGATTGAAGTTGGATTGATTTAGATACTTCTTATTTCAGATTTTTTCGACGGTGTTGGAAACGTCTTGAATAGGCTAGAGGAGGGAGCTTAGTCATTTAGGCATCAATTCAAGGTTGACGCTTGTTCAGGGGACAGTAATTAGCCTGGGACAATTAGTATCACTAGTCGTCAAGAGGTGAAACCTGGCTTAAAACGGTAATTATTTCTGTTTTAAGGTAATATTGGCAAGTGGACTGGCAGAGTAAAATGTTTTGTCTAATGGCTCTCTTCTAAAGGTACAATAGCCTAGTTCTAAATTGTACACTATTGAAGACTTTCGGCTCCAAAGATAATTTTCTATAGAGGGAATGGATGTTTCATTGTAGGATTCGGTAATTGGGCACTTGCATAGCCAATAGTTGTGGTGATGGGTCCTTATCAGGTGCTTCGCGTGTAGAAGTCCATTAGCTGATAATCGAAAGATGAAACTAGCGCAAACGTTATGTCTTAAAGGAAATCGGTGGCCCATAAAACCGCAGAAAATTGAATTCCCCCCTTTTTAATGAACAACTATTCAAAGGGGCTCATTAGAGTATAAAAAAGGAAGTACGAGAGAAACATGGTTTCCTATGTCGAATTTGCTTTGAAGTTACCTTTCGCCGAAAGATTAGTCCGCAAGTGAAGCGATGCTCCATTTCTCCGCCACTAGGGGTGTGCGATAGACTTACCTCCACGTGGTACACCCTGGGCAACGTATACTCATACGGTAAAAATGTCTATTAGTCGGTAGTTGACTTCTGACTTCAAACTACCACCATCCCACTGTATGCTCTATTCCACCACTCTCACGGTACTTGTCTTACTTTTTTTCTTTACCTTTGTGCCTATTTTGCATCTGTCAAATCATTCTTCTGTTCCCCCCTCCCCATTTTTTTTGTGACTTCGCTCTATGAAGCCCGAAGTCAACTAAAGGGCCAATGATAACTATCACAAAGCCTACCATTTGATATAAATAAACAAAAGATTATTTAGTTAATTTGAAGAAATACGCGTCTTATTGATTCTATCTAAAGAGAAAGTAAATAGCTTGCAGTATCAAGTTTACTAAGGTGGGTTGATACTTCAATTGAAATTTTTTAATTCTGAAATTATGTGGTCTGCAAAGTTTCACTTGCAGAATGGGCCGTTTCGACCTTAAAAACTACATTCCTAGAGAATTTTGAGCATTGGAAATTAGT